CCACCACCACCACCACCACCAGCCGCCGCATCCCCTCTGCCCCCCTCCACCCCTTTAATGCAACACAAAATTCATTACTGATCACATTACATCAAAATACACCCGCGCTACACGCACACACTCTTTCCTGCGCCTTGAGCCATGCTGAAGACATCATCCACAGGGAATGTGATGGACTTGTTGGGCTCTCCATCCATTCATACAGACAGAAAGGCTTCAGTCTCTGTAGGCTAATCTAATAGCACAGCACTTCTGCGCTGTAACGTATAGGAAATGCTCCTGTGTCTGCTGTAAGGAGGAGAGAGCCCTGCATGGCCAGGAGTTGCGGTTTCATAAAAGAAAAAAGAAAAGCGGGACCTGGTTCTGTTAGCATCATCTGTCTTGGTTACGGCATTATGGATGTAGTTTGTTCGATAACCTGTTTATTGAAGAAGTGGGCCATATTAATACTGGCTCTACATGAAGAGTTTAAAGGGTTGGTTCACCCTAATTCCAAAAACAACTTTTGTATTTTCTCACTTACCTCATCTAGTCATACAGACAGCTTCATCTCTCTGTCATTACTTTACATTTGAACTACTTTCTGTCAAAGAAATATCTTTTTTTTTATGTAAAAACTGTTTTGGAAATACATATAGATGAGGGTTCATTTTAAAATGTCACTTTACAATGCTACGAGCAGCAGATTAAATTCTGTTCATCTGTGCTGTATTTGAGGATGAATAGACACAGACATCTCAATACTCATAACCAAACGTAGGTATTAACTGTAAAGTGTATTTAGAGAAACATTGTTACAAATAAAGCAAGCAGCTTTTTAGAATGTCACACAATTTCAGTGAATGCTGTCTAATGAGCTTTTGTTGGTCAGAGCATTGAGATACCAGCAGAGGTGTGTGAAAACATATGTTTTTCTATTTAGGGTAAACTGGCCCATGACATTTAGTGCATTTTAGTGCAAATATTATGCACGGTTTTGTTTTGTCCCATCATTGTCCAAATGCTGTTTTACAAAAAAAGAAACAAAGAAAAAAATATACTCGAGGATAATAACGTATTAAATACTATACAGGAAACAGTTACTGAATTGCTTAAATCTTAAGAAAAAAAAATACTGCATAAGAAAATGTAAAGCAAGTTTTTTGTCATTTCCACAGAAATGAACAGACTTTTTCTTTTTCTTTTTTTTTAGAAAGAAAACAAACCAAATGTATTATGAACATATACAGGAGATAAAAGACACTGAATTCTATATACAGCAATATCAATAATACAAATAAAAAGTATTGCAAGTAACATGTTTTTACTTTTGTTTAATTTAAATTTTCTTTTTCTTTTTAAATTTGGGGGCACTGCAAGTAGACATAAACGTGTAAAATCCCCCAAAACAAAACAAAAACAGCCAAATCAAATGCTAAAGACATAGATGCACTGGAGGAGAAGGCCAGACATGTCCATTCGAGTTGAAGACTGTGGTTCTTCAAAGTGCCTTCACCAGTTATGGAACCAGTTTACTGAGTGCATGATCATTTATGTATTTTATATAGTCCTTCATTTTTATTGGAGTTATTTAGTGACAGGTAACAACCTGAAAACCGAGCTGCATCTAATGATTATTTCATTATCGATCATAATTTTCTCAGTTCGTTGAATAATTGCTTGGCCTATGAAATATCTAAACACAGTGAGAAATGGTCATCACACTTGAAGTGAAATTGGCATCTTGTAATGTGTTGTTCAGTTTGACAGCAGTCTGGAACCCACATTATTAAATGTGTTTTAATGAAAGACCAAGAAATGCTGCAAATTCTTACATTTGACTTTTTTGCTTTAAAATTATTTAAAGGATTGTTAAGTCCTATTTTTAGAATAGAACAGGTGGGTCCGCAAAGAGAACCTGTTTTTAAGTTGTAGTTCTTTAGAGCACCTTATATGGGACCTAAAATAACCAGTTTTTGATAGTTATTTGAGGCACCTTTAAAGAACCATGTGAAGAAAGGGTTTTCAAAGGAGCCTCTTGCTAAAATGTTCTTTATGGAACTAATAAAGATTCTTCCATGGCATCACTGTGAAAAAACATTTTTGGTTCCAGTTTGCGCCTTTATGTTTTTTGATTGTAATTCCCCAGGAAATCTGAGTGCACCATAGGGAGACCTCATATTCTAAAATGCTACCACTGATACAAGTCATATCACATCCACCCTTGTGTAGACGACACACATCCTCAGAGCCCAGACCCCCAGATATGGATGAATAAATGAACCACGCAGGGATGTGGAGCACTGGGCATTTTATTCTTTGCGGGATTTTTACACAAGTTTTGCCAGTACTGTTAAAAAACATATTCTTGGCCCTGAGTCGGAAGATCTGATTTCCCGTGGCTTTCTATTGGAACGAGGCAACAGTCAACATGTCATCCTGACCACATATGATCCACACATGATACACTCCCCTCTGGGTTAAAGTGAGACACGTTTTTTTTGTTTTTTTTGTCAGAGCTGTGGCATTCGATAAATTATTTACAGTTGGTAGGATTTCCATGTTAATATATGTGCACTTAAGTTATTTCCGTTGTGAAACTAAACTGTATACTGTGTTGTTTAAAGACTCTAAAGAGTGTGTGTGTGTGTGTGTGCGTGTGTGTGTCTTGGCTTGAGACTTAGATGGGCAGAGGCAGATGGTATCTTGCTCAGTGTCTCCATTTGCTGGGAGCTGTGGCCCCAGCGCTTAGACACACACAACACAGTGCAGCAGCCAGCATAGACCTTGAACCTGATTGCAAACACACACACACACACACCCACACACACACACTCTTACCTCACCTATACACACAATCCCCTCATCTATTTCTCTGTCATATGTTTCCACGCAACTGCTGAGTGAATTTTCTGCAAACTTTTCAA